CATTTGTTAATTTTGTGTTTTAGCCCGACAGTGCGATGCCCAATAAAATATTATCTTCTCTCAACTTGCTAGTTTATCACGTGGCTTGCGAGGGTAACTTTTTGCAGCTACCTTTGTTGCTCTATCATGAATAAAATATGTTAGCGACCGAATCCCTGTCATTCTGTCCAGCAGATGTAGACAAATATAGGCTTGCAAGAAGTGAAAGTATGCAGGCGAGTTCGTTAGAAAATACTATAATCTAATTATATTTTATTCAATATTATGTTTCTCCGTGTCTCAGACTTTTAATTACGAAATATTAACTGCCGTTCATACTCTGGTACAATTAATTTTTTTTATTTATTTTTATTTTTATGTGCTTGAAAACAACCATGCAGGTCTTTTCTTTGGTGCACAAATATATAAAAATTAAAAACAAAGAGATACTCAATATCATTTTTTCAAACGCAAAGCAAAAAACACAATATTTAAAGTTCGACAACAAGTACTTTCACTTGGTTCCTGAACACCTGAACAATGTCACTGTATATATCAAGTTCGGCATTTTCAATATTGATAAACAGAAATTGTATCCGTCAGAAAAGAGATGGTTTACAGATGGTGTGAATGCTGAAAGCACTGCGGGTCCTAGTGGGACGAGGAGGGACATGAATGTTTATATCACGTAAAAGCGAAGAACTGTCAAATATATGGTACTTTCGATTTTCTACACAAAAACTATGTCGCGCTCTGCTTTTTTTATTGGTCAATGTTATCAACGAACTCGTATTAAGCAGAAAAGTGAAGTCAAAATAGAAACTGCGTTTATAAGTAGCGATCATAAACAATACGTATTAGTTTGTGTTGCACATTTTCGATGGTCATCGCTTGTTTTCTTGATAGCAAATTCCAGGCCACAGAGCCTAAATCAAGCCCAGACCTAATCAGGGCACAAAATAAACGAATAATGGAGACCGATTTCTTGAGTGGCTGAGTAATGCGGCATATAATACCCAACATTCTCGTCGCCCTACGAACAATAAATGACACGTGAGCACTAAACTTGAATGCATTATCGAGATACACGCCAAGGTATTTTACAACAGATGCACGCGTGATTGTCACTCTGTCCATAATGTAATCGTAGTTTACTATACTGCGACGCTTGCAGAAATAAATACATTTGTTTTCAGGGGATTCAGTGACAAGCTATTTGCTGAACACCACAGGACAACAGGTAAGACATCATGTTGCAGAAGATGACAGTCAACAAGAGACTTTACACTCATAAAAATCTTAATGTCATCAGCAAGCATCAGTAACTCAGCACTACCTACACAGGCCGCTAAACCGTTGACGAAGATTAAGAACTAAAGGGGGCTAAGAATATATCCTTGAGGGACACCAGATTTTAAAAAGAAAAGGTCGGAATAACTGTTATGAATACAAACACTGTTTGGACGAGATGATAAGTAACTTTCGAACCAGTTACACAGCTCTGAACAAGAAACGTATGGCAATAATTTGTGTAACAAATTATTTTCATACAGTTTATGGAAAGGTTTTGACAGGTAAAAATACATACAATCAACTTGGCCTCTGTTTAGGACAATGGGGGTATAGTAGTGTAAAAAAAGCAAAGATTGGTTTCAACCGACGGCCCTTTCAGAAAACCATGCTGACAAGATAAAAACTTTTGGCGAAAATAAAAGAAATAATTCGGGAATGCTCAACCCGTTCAAAAACTTTAGAAAATCCCGACAATAAAAATATGGGGCGATAATTACTAGTGACGGAGCTATCGCCTCCTTTTAAGATAGGTACCACAACCGCTTTTTTTCCATAATGATGCGAAGACACCGAAACTCAGAGAGAGGTTAAAGATGTGCAATAGAATGGGTGTCAAAATGTCACTTCAGACCTTTATAATAAACGATGGAATACAGTCTGCGCCTCTATATAACTTTGGTTTTAACTGTTAAATTGCTTCTGCGATTTCTGTCGTATCTACTCTGATACCAGTCAAGAAGTCATGGCAATTAGTTTTACATTCTTGACGCGGAGCAATGCCCTGGCTTGTTGAGTAACAGCCCATGAAGTAAGCAGCAAATATATTCGCAACTTTTAAAGGAGATGTAACATAGCTCGCCTCGTTATCTGTACGCAAGCAAATGCTTTGGTCAGAATCGCGAGGGCTATTTTGCAAATCGCCAAAAGGTTTTTGGACGCCGGCTTAAGCTACACTCTACCTGGTCTAGGTGTAGGCGGTTGTCCTTCGAATATAATTTTTTCTACTAAGGCCCTGTATGTACTGAACTCAGTGTAATATAAGGAAGAGCCCGTTTGTCTGAAAAGTCAATGAAAGCGCTCTTTCTTCCGCATGCACGTTTTCAACTCTTTAGAAAACCACTCAGGATATATTGAAAGTTTTGCAACGCGCTGCGGCACAAATAGACCAATTTTGTCTTTGACCATCAAAGAAAATGTTTCGGTCATCAGGTCGACATCAGATATAGTGAGCAGGCCGTTTCAATCGCAGTTCTTGAAGTATTCATATAAGTCAGGTAATCGCTTTTATAGTAGCAGTAAGTAGATTAGGGATACGTTGCTGGCTTTTTATGAGGGAGACAGAACTCAACTGTGAATGGAGAGTGGAAAACATCCATCTGCACTAAGGCGGCTAAACTATGGGTTACAGAGTCAACCGGCACGCTGGACAGAACAGCGTCAAGGACATTTCTAGCGCAGTTCTCAATTCTGTTGAATTTATCCAAACCAGAAAAGTTCATGAAGTCAAATAAAACAAAGCCTTAGTTTTTGTTAGGAGGGTGCTTCTGTTAACATTCCAACTGACCAATCTACACCCGGAAGATTAAAATAGCCATAGAGCTGTACTTTGTACCTGCTGAAATCAATGTGTTTTTTAAGTGTCTCGAGATGCTCAGCGAAGATAACCTGATCAAACAGGGGTGGAAAGTATTAACTTCAAACTAGATAGCTCAAGCCATCACTTGCTATGATTTCTATCCATACAGACTCGGAATATGTTTCAAGAACGAAACGGTGATGTTTCGAGAGAGATTCCTCAGCAGCAATAAGTACGCCACCGCCGAATATCGACCACGCTAAGCTCTCTTCCACTTAAGTACCAATACAAAATATTTAAAAAACATTTGTCAAGCATTGTGGTCTATGAGATCGGTTTTCGTGGTAAACACGGAAACAAAAGTCAACTTTTTCTGGCTGCCCAGAAACAAATGAACACACCGGAATATATCAAGCTTCAAAACATTGCACATCCCCTTGAAGCGTCATGGGGGGAAACGGAAAATATGTCAACTCTTTGCCTTCGGCAGAGACTGAAAGGAGTCTTTTATCCAAACGGCACGCGAAAATGACTCTATAGCAGAACAGACGAGACCCGTTAGCGTCCGTCGACAAATCTTCTTACGTCACGAATTATCTAAGTGAGAACTGAAAGAAAAATGCAAACAAATTTTCGAGTTATAAGGATTCCTTTATATATTGCATTCCCAAGTCGAATAACACGTCTTCCCTAGCCACATGAAGAGACATCGCAATTGCAGTGCTTGCAAACTCGTATGTACATGATTTTCGTTCCTTTGCATTTTAGAGCCTCAGTGCAGCCTGGCCGACCTTTCACATTTAAACCACTAAACTATTCGAAACAGTGTAACATAATTGCAAGATATTTCCCATATTGTGTGGTAGAACTTTGCACCATGGTGCCAATGAAAACTTAATTTGAACGTATGTAAACGAAACAAAATTTTTTAGAAATGTTCTTTTTTAATGTTTTATGCGCCTTTATATTAAGTTTTTCAATGTTCCCTCGGGCTATGTTTATGAGAAATTCACTAAGATTTGGCAACACTCCTCACAACATCCTTTTGATAGGCCGTCTTGCTGGCTCTCAAGCAAAAGCTCGGCCTACTCGTTCCCCGTTGTGTGGTTGGAGTCCAGGCCATTGTGTGTAGCTATGTGACTGAGGCTTCTTGTGGCAAAGACACTGTGTAACCCTGAGATTATGGTTGCACGTCAAAAGATTTCATGGGGCCATATTTAACCGCTAGCCCTTCTTTGTGCTACGCTCTTCTAGGCTTATTTGGTAATTTTCCCGCAGTGGTGTCGATCCTGCCCACTTTTTTCCGTTTCTACGTTAAACAAAAGAGTCAGCATTTTCTATTTTAACTTAGAATGTTCAGACAAAACGGTTATGACAATAAACAGAAGTACATCAGGGAGAACTCAGATGAGTTGCAATGAGGAGATCAGAAATTAAGAACTGTGAATAAATTGAATCGCAGTATATACAGAATAATCGAAAGGTTCATGGTGTTTTTGAATCAGCAATAATCGCGTTGTGATATTTCGTTCTCCATAGTAAATAGTTTGAAGAGCGTCTAATATTTCAAATAGGGCCAAGTTCATGTTTCACGAAGAGCCATAAGTTTACTGTTCCAAACACACTGATAGCTTAATGCCTGAATGCCAAATGATTTGATCACGTGAAAAGCACACCGGTGTCCGGCGAGGTCCAGCTAAGGCAGACTTCGCCGCAAAAGCGCAGTCAAGCCAGAACCTACTACTCAAGTTGCTAGTTTACGACTAGAAAAAACAACCCTATGACTGTAAAGACGTGCCAAAAAGGTAACAATCGCAGGCCGTTACTCCATGTATAGGTTTTTTTCTCACGTGTAATGGTTGTTGCACATCCTGTCTATCAGATGTTATGACGCACGAGGATTCTGTCAAAATATAAAAAAAAACAGCTGACGTTCGTGTCCGATTAGATATATATGCCAAGGCACGTTCCTACTCTGAGGCAACAACCTGCAACCTACAGCTTTAAAAAAGCGTGTACGCTCTTCAGTTGACGGTTCCAACGTACCTACGAACTACAGATACCAACCTTGACAAAGGATAGCTTAATTAGTAAGAAATTACATTGTCGAAATTATGTCTCTTCTGCTGGCTGCTTTACAAATGGTGTTGACATTTGGTTGCTCCGCCAATAGCTCGCCCCGTCTCGATCTTAATCCGGCACTTGGGAAGTATCAGGACATGGAACAGGTAAGCTTATTCAGTGCCAGGCTATTCCACATCTAAGACCCACTGAGGTCTACAATCTTGGTCATTTTGCTTAATCACCTCACTGCAAGTGAACTCAGATCTCTCCGGTTTTGTTTATGATACTTCCCAATGCATTCAAGCATCTCTTAATCTCTAATGAAGAATACAAGAAGAAATATTTATTATAGCTAAAAGCAACACAAAATATATCCTTGTAAGATTGGTATCTTGAAATGTCTACACGATTTATAGGAGACATTTTTTTTCAATATTTAAACAATGTTTTTACCATATATACCGCATCGCCTGCGGCTATGTGATATATTTTTTTCAAATTCAAAGGAGAACTGATTGAAATCACGGAGAAAGATACATTTTTTAAGGGTCTGATACTTTCTCTCGGATCAAAACATTTGTTTCAATTTTATAGAGATAATTTATCTGAGATCAAACAACAAAGAAGGCATTAGAGATCAGGTTTTATGTAGCTATAGATTAGTTTAGGCAAGTACAACGTCGTAACTCCCACACAATATTTTTTCTATTCCGGCGGGAGAGTGGGAAAAGTCACAAAGAAGTTGTTTTTCCTTTACGAAACCAGTACCACTTCATGATAAACCGGTATATTTTACTCTATTGTTTTCTACATTCATTCGGCATACGCGCTATAATTAAAATTCTGACAATGGTGATTTATTATAATTTTCAGGGACGTGTAACGATGAATTGAAGCATGAATGATTAATAAGTGTAAATTATTTTAAGCCAAGTTGTTGTGTGATAATATTCACGCATTTATTAATTTCCCTGCTAATGAAAGTAAAGTGACTACAAAGCAATGACTACAAAACAACACTACTACAGCTAAACGTCTATAAAAATGTAATTCAATAGTAAGTTTATATTAAAAAAAAATCTTTTTGTCTTCCTAAAATTAGTGTTTCCCGCTCAGTGAGTCTTGGGTGACACTATACAGAAACTACCCATGGGATCCATTTTTCGGCGGCAATGCAACGTGCATCAAGGAGACCCAAACAGGTCCAGCAGTTAACGGAGCGTATCCGCTTCTCTCACAATATGGAGACTAGTCAGCGTAAGTATTAGTAGCGGTCAATGGCTATTTTATTCGAAGATAAAATTAATATTGCTAATTATAAGCTTGGTGATATCACAAGACCTAGGCCCCAAAGGCGATTTGATTAAAACATAAAATTGCCCTACCTTGAATATTTTAGAAAACACGATGTTTGTAGCTTGCAACATGAACAGTCCAAAGTGCAGCGGAAATTTTCTATTAATAACTTCTAAACAACAATAACTATACTAAGACCCGTAATAGGTCGGTATGCTTTCATTTATCATAAATACCTTTTTGTGTGCGGTGTTAGAATTTGCTCGCAATATATTGCCACGCGCGTCGCCGAGCGAGAGCGCGCGCGTGGCCAAGTGGTTACCGTGCTTGACTTTTGAGCGGAGGCTCCACGTTCAATTCCATAGAGCGGGCGCTTCGTTTATTCATTCTTCCAATTTAAGCAAAGATTGCAGCGTCAAGCAAATTAGACAGTCTATTGATTTTTTCCCCTCTCCTTAAAGCAGCCCTGAAGAGATTTCTGAGCTATGCTAAATATGGTGATAATTAACTCTGCTGGCTCTAAATTCTAGAAATCACTATATCATGACAATATCGGTCTATTTCCCTATTAAAAACGCAAAGATTGCAACGCACCGGGGTCATCTAGGGCGATGAAAGAAGCATGTTACAAATCCAGGACCACTGTCAGCCAATAGCAAGCGAAGGATTCTCGCGCCTCTGACTAGTGGACCCGCGCAGTGAGAGGCAGTGGCAGACGGGCCTATGAGCCTACACCCGTAATTGCCTCTATTTCCTTTTCCAAGCTACATAGCTTACAACCACAACAATCACGCAGTAATATGTCAAATGCGCTCGACTTGTGGCCCGGAATGCCCGAACACCCGGACTTCGGCGAGTTTTTCAGTCGGCCGTACTGACGTAGCAGACAAGGTCCATCGTGTACCCTCTCCGCCATCACTTCATCGGAAAGCACGCTTGGAAGTCAGCTGCGTCGCACACGAAGTCTGCGCGAGGAAGACCGATGATACAGCCCAGCGAGCGCGCTCTCGAGAGCAGACCATCATATGACCGGACACATCACTTCCGCGGAAGACGAAAACAAAATATGAAACATTAACACAGTGCGCTGCTTTTGAAATGATTATTGCGGTATTATGTTCCCCTCTCCGCGAAAAATTAACATTTATCTCATACTCCTTCTTATTGTTATCATCTGCGAAAACATACACATTTTCTAATAACAGCGTTTGTACTCCACGAGATGTCGCGTTTTGATTGGTTACATGTCGTCTTGGCTGCTGGAACATGCTCCTCCCATCGTCCGAGATTACTTCTGTGTGTTCAGATCTTTGATTTCTTTTCAATATGCCAATCAATATGCGCATGATTGTCATTCAGAAATTTTTAGGATGCTCAAAGCCCGCGGAGTTAGTTATCACCTTATTTAGGTGATCTCAGAAATCTCCTCAGAGTCCCTTTAATATTCCACGAAATCTTTGTAGCACAATCGTAATTTATTTATTTATAGCAGTACCCTCAAGGCCCATGTGCATTACAGAGGGGAGGGGCAAGTAGCGAAACGTAATGCACAAATGAGAATAAACACAAAAATTTAACACGACGAAAAGCAGTCAGGGTGCCTGCTAACGAAAATGGCTGGTTAAAGCAGTTCTAAGAGAATCAAATGATGATATAGATACTAAAGATGCGGGAATGTCTGAGCATTGCGTTGAAAAAGCCATGCGGGGCTTTAAGTGAAAGGCAACTATAATAAAAATTAAAGCTCTCCGTTTAGGGAAACAAGACCCCATGGAGTTCAGAAGTTTGTCTGGTCTGTGTACGCAGTAGGAATTTCAAAATGTGAGGTCTTACCCGTAAGTTATTGTAGTTCATGCTCGCTGGTATCTTCACATTTACAAAAGATGTCATATCCAAGTGTATCAGTAAGCCTTCTGTGCCATTGTAAGATAAGGAATTCACTTTGTCCCTGTCCTTCGGTGCTTCTATTCAGTCAACAACCAACAGGTTCAACTGAATATTTTGTTGCAAGAATAGTTGTTTTTTTTAGGTTTTTATAAATATAATTTATACAATCAATATGCAGTCTGCTCAACATGCTGAGCAGACCGCACATCGTTTTGACGTGAACAGATTGAATTGCACGTGAACAGCACGTATTTCCTAGTAAAAAAGATCATATGAATAAGAACTTTCTTGTTCCAATAAACGCATATGATTAAATAAGATCACATAAGAGCACACAAGAGCCTTATAAGAACATATCAGAATGATATAAGATTATATAAAAAGTTATAAGAGACTGCTCATCAGTTTCTTGTAACTGCTTATGCGCTATTATATAATTCTTATATGTTGTTATAAAGTTTTCGTACGCTCTCATGTGATCTTATTTAATCATGTGCGTTCATTCGACCAAGAAAGTTGTTATACATGTGATATTTTTTACTAGGGATTGTTGTTCACGTATCGCAATCCATGCTTAATAAAGCGTAATTCTTTATATGTTTATACCTGCGGGGTCTAATTCCTTCCGCCCAATCGCCGCATTGTTGCATGTCACAATTTTTGGGAATAAAATGAATAAAACTTAAATTGTTGGTGAACATTTAAAGACTACTTCAACATGTAAAAACAGTGAGTGTGCAGCCGGGTTGGTGATTGTTAATCATGAGGGTTAAAACTCGAGATTATGGTGAGGTAATAAATAGGCAATACTGAACGTGATTATAAAGGCACAGATGAAGACGTCACCTGTACACTTTTCTTCGGCTTCCAAAATTTCTTATTTTTCCCTCACCACAGTTTTGGGTTTTAAACAGCGTGACTAACTTCAATGTTTGATTAAAGACGTTAATATTGTTGTTTTTTTTAGTCGTGGCACAGTGAGTTTTCTTTCTTCTCAAGGATATACTATCCATAACGTTTTGAAACTACAACCTGAAGGGGGTAAGTCTGTGACCTGAAAAAACAAAGCGTTAATTTGACATTTTTACCAGAATTTTTTAATTTTTTTTAAGAACTAGCAAAGTACTGACCTATAGACGTATTTCTAATGTTTATGTCAATAAATTTCACCGTTTGTAGACAAGTTTTCCATTCTGCTACTTTTACGAAGTTATTGTTTTTTATATGGAGGCTACAGTAATAAGGCAGATTACCTTGCACGTTATACTATTTTTAAAATGCTCTTTTTTATAGAAAAAACAACACAACTTCCGTTCATCAGACTTTACGACTTGAAAGGTTATTGCCATTAATTTATGTTTAGGTTCAACTAATTTCGTTCTTTTGCAGGAAACACCTCCATTGATATTTACGTTGCTTACGCTGACTGCCAAAATTGTGTCATTCTCAGGAAAACATACGTGAATGGTAAATAACTGTTTCCAGTCGCATTTATATCTTGCAAACTATATGCCCTAATTTTAAGAAATTTATAGTAGCCCAAAATTAGCCCCGTTATCGCACCATTCATACTTTTTTCTAGTCACTTTATTGGCGCCATGATAGAATTAAAACTACTGCAGGGTCTTATGTTTTTATGGTGTAATCGAAATTTCCAAAAGCGTAGGTGTGTTTCATGTGCTGTAACAACAAAGCGGTTGACCAATCCAACCGAAGCTAAGGTAGGGACTAACAAAATCAAGATTATGGTTGTTTACGTGAGCGAATGTTTTTTGTGCAGTGATCACTTCAATGCGTTCAATATTTAGTGATTTTGACGGTTGAAGATAGCCATATTGTTAGCGTTAGCAATGTTTCGCTTGTCGAAAGGAAGATAAACTTTTGCAAGCCAAAGAGCTGACATACTCGAACATATAATGTCCGTTTGTGTAAAATAATATTTTCGTTCTCCAACTTTACGTTTTGCCACGACAGATAACGCATGCGGTCTTCTTGTTGCCGAGAGCCAAGTGGATAAAGATATTACATGCTGTGATTTCATCTTCGATCTTCTTTGTGGTACTACACCAAAGTACAACCTCTGGGACGACAGCTGCCAGACATAAAACTGGTGTACTTATCTTGTAAATTCTTTCATTACACAATGCGAAAACTTTGCATGGAGACATATGCAATCTAAAATATAAACCCCTCCATAAGTCCGTAACAATAAACGTTTATATTTCTCTATACCGATTAGGTGAGAAGAATACCAAGCCGTATTGTATTCAAACAGTCGTATGATCCCAAAAACAAACGATGTGCATTTGTTGTGCTAGTCAGATTTCGCAGGTTATCGATCGCATTATTTCTTCTTGGCGGTCCGGGGGTAATTAGAGGGAGATGACTGTTTGGTACCGAAAACAAAAGGATCCAGAAGCATTGCGCAATAAAGATTTTGCTTTATATAATAATCCCGAAAACTGTGAAAATGAATAATTTGTGTTGTAATTTCTTCAGAAATAAATTACATACCTAATTCGCCATGGGTGCTTTTTTTATTTAATACACCGCACATAGCAGCAGAAAATAATTTGTGATTAAAAATGCGTATACCAAGATGTTTTGAGACGTTCAGCATGTCCCCTTTATTGTGCACACGCCATCAACGACCCAGCTGGAGGTATGAAATCGTGACAGATCATGTTCGCGCTTTTTTTTCTTTATTCAAGATTCGTTCTTCAGCGCTTTTATCGGTTATTGCTGCTATCTCATTGACTGATAAGCGCTAAGAAAAATCCCGGCACTTGCTACTAGTGTCCCTGAATAAGAAAGGTAGCGACATCTTCTCCCTCCTCCTCTGACGAGCACACCTTTTATCTTTGTGTTTTGCTCTTTTACACCCACGCGTCGATTGTAGCGCCGCCTGGATCGCTCCAAGATATCAGACGTCCTCCCAATACTTGAGTCAGAGCAGAGTCAAAGGCTGAAAGACCCGCAAAATACATACACACAGGCTCAAAAACGCATTGTCACGGTCTACCGGCCTCGAAGGACGTGATGAAAGAAAGACGATTAAAGCCTTGACGTTACACAGTCGGCGTTATTTGATTGGCGACATGAGCTCATAGCATGCACCGCACTCCGACAGCATAGGCATTCCTTCTCCCTCCTTGTCCCTCATGCACACTCTTATTGTTATATTTTGCTCTTTCGTGCTCGCGCGTCGACGGTAGCGCCGCGTGGATCGCTCCAAAATAGCAGGCGGCATTCTTCAAAGGATGTCGCTACTTTTCCGTGATACAGGGGCTTTACTTGCTACGCCCTGCCGTTCTTAAGTTGTCAGCGGCCATATAATCAAGATTGCAACGAGGCAACACCGTCATTATCACAGAAACGTCAACGTATCACGCAAAGGCAGAGATAGAGAGGCGAAACTATCTAGACAATTTTTCAACCAGATTCCGAAACTGTAAGGTGCGGATATCACACAGTGTTTCAACTTTCAATTTCATTTATTGTGCAGTAACGGTTTTTAAGGCCCGCGAGTGTCTTCGAAGTTTGGTGGTCTGCCAGGGAAGTTGTAGTTACGAGACGTGTCCGGCAATCGGAGGCTCCTCAATGACCCAAGCCTAGACGCGCCATCGAAATATCAATTAGAACATTTACTAAAATATTTGGTGCCGCTCAATATTGCAATTTAACTGAAATTCTCAATTGAGTGGTTAATCACTGGAATGCATGAACCACTCGACGACAGACGGTCGTAATAAAGAACCATATTTTCTATTTTTCTTTCAAGAGCATTTACGCGTACAAATACCCTGGCTGCGCACTGGCCTTGGAAGGAATTAGGAAGGAATAAGATTGCAAATTAAGTATACGTAGCAAAACGCGTTGGATGAGGTATAGTTCGTGCTGACAGTATAAAGAAACACTCATATGGACGACGGACAGCACTTTACAGTTCTTTCAAGAAACAACGACACATTTGTATTTATACATTTATTTCCTTCAGGAGCATTTCCGGCCCACTCTAGTGGGCCAAGGCATGGCTGAATGTACAGTTCCAGGGCAGAGATCGTAAAAATATACAATATAAAATGTCGCATACTAAAACTATAGACAAATATCGATTATTTCGTGGATGTTTACTTATATAAAGAAACGTCTGAATCTCTAACGAAACAATTGTATATAGCAAGGCTCGTGACACTTGGAGGCAAGCTATTCCAATCACACACAGACATATATATGATGCCCATCGCACTACACACACTGCCCAAAGGAATTTAAAAAAAAACACACGAAAATACAATAAAAATATACGAAAAACATAAATATTGATAAATTGAACTCCTTGAAAAATAAGTAACGAATTAAAATATGTTTCTTCTAGGATAACTCTGGCGCGAGGGGTTCCAGCTCTGTTTGTAGACGACGACCACAAAGGCTTCGAAATATTGTAGCACACTTCATCTAAAATGCTTCAATAATTTCTCGCCTATACTTGTCCTTGTGTGAGCCTCACAAAAGGACAAGGACTCTCCTGTGGTCTTACGTTTACCAGCATAGAGCAAATGGACTACAATATCTGGATCTAAGACTCAAGGCCTGTGCTGAAGTTTAAAACAACGATCCGAAAAATCGGTTCTCCTTTTCTGCAGCAGCCACTCTTAGACGATGAAGCTTGGGATTATCCTATCCCTGTTTGCCTCTTCTCGTTCAAACTCCTGCCCCCACCTCTCACCAGCAAGCCTCATACGTCAGAATGACCGACTGCTTCAAGTCGGGTGCCCAGCAGACATCCTCTGTACCACACTTCAGCGTCTTCTCACAACCCTTAACCGTCCTTCATTGAACAACGAAAGACACAAACACACATGCCCAGCCGGCATTCCATAATTGCATAACATCGCCCACCACCTGAAGAGTTTTGCCGAGCGGTTTGACACGAAGGTGGTTTTCACATGTAGAATGGAGTTAAAGCAAATGTGCCAAAGAGTTAATTACGAAACTCGTCCACTATACTGTACCACCAAGCACTCCAACAAGTACGTTAAATGCCAAGAACAGCCAATTATTCTGTTCCACTGAGATGCGGCGGCCAATAGATCGGCCAGACGGGACGTTGCCTGATCGTTCGCCTTCTGGAACACTCCTGGAAGTCAACAGGGCGTCATTTGACCCTTTCTATGCAACAGTTATGCACGCTCGCACCTACCTTGACTGCACTCCTAGCTATACAACGCTACAGTGCTTGGCTCCTAAAAGGAAAAGTATGGGCGAGCAATTATAAAAGCATTTAAGATGAAGAAGGCTTCAGACAATGTTTCAGAGCATTAGTTTTCGTTATCGACAAAATGGTTATATTTTTTTGCGGCAGAGCTATCCTTGAAAAGTCATTCTTTAATATTTTTCTTCTTTTTTAGGAAGTTAAATTTAGAAAATTTTGTTACTATCGTTTTCTAGTGTTTTAGTTTTCCCTCAATTCCTTTGTGATGAAAAGGGTGTTCATAGTGCGATGGGCTCCATATAAATCTGGCGTTGCTCGTTAGAAGAACTGTGAATTTCTGTCCTTCGCTCATTTCCTGTGTTTTTATTCTTCCTGTGCGAATTAAAATTGCAATAAAGTGTAATGAAGTCTAAACAGGCACATACCATATATGTAACAAGAAGCATGATCGCAAAACACATCCAGCCAAGAGGAGGTTCTCGTTCTCTGGTGACCCGGCACAACGTTATGAAGGCGAAAGAAGTAAAAAAGTATCACTTTTGCTATATTCCTTAAAGATGGAATCTCTCTTCTGGTGTACGACAACGTCTTCGATCATGCGAAGGATATTTCTAAACAGCGGTCAAATTATTATGACTCTTGATCACCATAGTTGAAGCGTAATAATGACAGAGTGACAACGGTCGTTTGTGTTTTGGACCCTCTACGAACGTCTAAGCAATTGGTAACGTGAATAAACCAAATCACGTTATGGCGATTAAGATTAAGTTACTCGATCAACGTATTGAGTTAATGAATTAGTTAGTCCAGTGAATCACTTATTGTGGGTATACTTTTGCGGATTCGCGGCCAGATCCGCGCCGGCGGCGAGAAGATTTTGGAGCCTGGGGGCGAAATCCGCTTGTTGTTGGTGGGAAATGCGGATATGGGTCCCGGACCGATGTAGATTTAGCGCCAGCGATAAGGGGGTTTCGCCACCCGGCTCCAAAAGACACTCGCCGCCAGCGCAAATCCACCCGTGAATCCGCAAGTGTAAAAGCAGCATTTGCACAATTTTGTTCCTCACAATTGGAGAAATAGCTGTTAGAATAAGTGCGAACAAATTATTGGCAGCAACCTTTTCCTTCAAAGTAAAATCATTATGCATTAAATGCGTTATAGGGAATAGACCATATGCAAAAACCTTGCCGGCTAGTATTTTCCTGCCATTAGGAGCCGCAATATTTCTTTCTTCGCACGTTTAAGTTGTAGGCGAGCCGCATCTGCATTTAAGTCGGTTCTTATGATATTATGACAATTTATTTGTGCACTCAACGGGTTGCTTTTCAGTTTCGGTTCAAAGACGATCAGAAAGACGGCCGCAAAATTCTGGTAATGGATTTGTAAGCAATGAGTTCGCAAGACTTGTCACTCAAGCAGTGAACTGTGCCATCCAGGTCAGTGAACGGACTTTATCGAAAACGTTTTGCGAAGGGGTCGTACAGGAATTGCATCAAGTGATCAGATTTCACTTCCCCGACTCCCGCTTTTTCGAGACCATTGTTTTGCGGGCGAAGCTATCGGTACGGAAACCCTCCAATATGAAGGAAATTTGATAATTGATCATGAGTGCAATAACTCTAGATGGGGAGGTTCTTTTTGCATGTAGTATATTGCCGAGAGAATCGGTGTGTCACGTGAAATGAAATTTCTCGCTAAATTTAGTGGGTAACTGAATTGGTGTATAGGTAACGGGAAGTCAATTTCCCGCTAAATTTAGCGGGGAGACTGAGTGGATTTTTTGGCCCCGAGACGTGAATTTTCCCGCAAAGTATATCTGGGAACCTAAGTTGGACGAATAGGTCACGTGCCATCAATTCCCTCAAGGTGTTTACGTCACGTTACGGCAGAGAACGTCACGTGACACCACTTCCCCTCCAGATTTAGCGGGGAAACTGGATTGGTGTATATGTCACGTGACGTCAATAGTTTCGCTAAATTTAGCGGGGAAACTGAATTGGTCTGAATGTCTCGTGACGTAAGGTCACGTGACATCAATTTTCTCCCTAAATTAAGCTGAAAAAGTTAATTCGTGTTAGGTCTCGCAATTTCCACTAAATTTAGCGGGAAAATTGCACGGACGGACAGAAAGAATTTTGGGGTTAGAGGTAGCGTTCAAAAGCACTTCATGCTCTAAAAG